ACCTCCCCCCCCCCCCCCCCCCCCCACATTGACGTCATTTCATACATCGTCATCATCGGGAACTCAACTGACCCCTCGAATAGATTTGTAGTGTGACAAAATGCCGAAGTGCTTTCAGTAGTGCCGGCGAGTGACCACAACACTCTTTGCGCTGATTTTTTGTTGTAGTTGCAGGGACGCGATATTTTAACAGCTTCCAAACTCGGTTGTTTCAAGGGAGTAGCAGATTGCTGTTCGGCCGGAGATTTATAGGTTATCACAATAAAGGGCAGGTACGCTTGCTGGGTGCAGATTATCATACCCCTGCTTCCTTGTGAGATACAGTTCGCAGACTAAGTAAGGGTTTCAATCGCTTCTCAAAAGTGGGGGGGGGGGGGGGGGGGGGGGACATACCTTGATCAGAAGTAATGCGAGCATGCAGTGCCAAGCCCTAACGGCGTAGGAAAACTTTTTGGACTCTAGACGCTCTGTGGTGCAATCAAAGGCAATTTCTGACCACTTTAACCAATTTTTTTTTTTAGCGAAAGATGATAATTTAAACAGCGTTTTCGAATTTGGAGTCATTGAATCAGCTATTTTCAGCTAAAGAATCATAGGCTGCAATTTTTATTCGGAGGTGAAAAAAGTGTGTGTGTGTGTGGGGGGGGGGGGGGGGAGGGGGACAGTTTGGGGCCCGCTTAAGGGCCTGAAACATTTTGGATTCTAGATGCTGTGTGGTGCAATCTGGGGTAATTTCTGACCAAATTTGTTTTAGGAAAAGATTACCATTCCAACATCATTTTCGATCTAGTCAGCTATTCTGAGCTATAGAATGAATAATGAAGGCTACAATTTTTATTTGGGGATGTAACAAGTGTGTGGGAGGGGGGGGGGGGGACAAACGATATGATATCCCCCACTTTAAAAAGTAGTCCCCCCTGTCCCCCACCAATTGACACCCATGGGACAAAGAAGTGGGAGACATTGACAGATGTTTGAAATTTGAAGGTTATTTTGTTTTGAGTTCCACCGCAGTTGTACATGCTTGCATGAGATACATTTGTACCAAGGGTGACAGACACTGTGACAAATAGGGTGATAGACTACGAGACAAAGTAAAGAGAGACTCAGTGACACGTAGACACGCAGACTCTGCAATACATAGTGGCACAGACCTCTCAGAACAAATTCATGTAAAATTGGACAAAATCAGTCAGATCCCCTGAGAAAACCAATTAACATTTTTGACTGATTTCATGCCCATCTGCCCAGAAATTGAAATGTCCTGCCGTTTAATATACATTACATTGTGTGTAGTTTATAAATGGTAAACTGTAGAATATTTGTTTTAGCACTGTGCAGTACCCTTTCTTTTGAGTGGTACATTGTAAGAACAATATTCTAAAACATACCCAATTGATGTACTGTAATAGTTTGTCTTGTATATCAACATCTAGTTGGAAATGTCCTTTTTTAAAATATTTTAATTCCCCCCCCCCCCCTCCCGAATTGATTTTTCCTTTTCATACTTTATTTGTCTCAAACACCATCGGTGTTAATTTTGATCCACCCACCTGTCGAGCAGAGCGGCTTAGGTGTTGCCATAATCGAACTGTCAACTCAATAAATTTAAAAAGAAAAAAGAAAGAATAAAAAAAAGCAACATCCGAGAATTTTCTTAATCCATTCTGGACTGCGTTGGTTTGTTTACCGGCTTCGCGCAAATTTTATCGGCTTTGATATTGAAACCTCCGCGGGCCCTCTCTGTCTACTTCCGCGCCCGGGGAATCGCGCCAAATTGCGGATTACAGTTGATCGGAGAAAATCGGTTTTAATGTGGGAGGGGGAGAACGGGGGAAAAAAGATAAAAGGTAAAAAAAAAAGCCACGGGTTGCTCCCGGCAACTAGTGTTGTCGTCTGGCTTGTGATCAAGATCCCAAATCCATATGTATCGCCTCGGGTTTCGGAGTCGAGAACGACGGTTGGAATTTTTGTCTTGCAGCCGAAAATTTGTCTCAACAGTTCCTTTCCAATAACATTAAATTCCTCAAAATGATATGCTTGATAGAACGTTAAATGTGCTCATTTGATTACTGTACTACCTTTGTTCCTATTTTTGTAATCGTAGTGATTTAATTACATCTAATATGCCCACTGACTTACCCCTCTGTCTGTAAGAATTTTTACAGTGCTTAAAGGTCATATATAACATTTGCAAACATCAAAAACAAAACTACTAAATTATTATGAAATTTTACCGACTTGACTGTAAGTGAATAACAGTCTCAAGCATTCTGTGAAATCATGGCACCCAGGAAAACAGACTAGCTGGCTTGCACCTGTTCACAGATGTGTAACCGATTGCAAACAGAATTTGGACTAACTAAATTTGGTAAATTAGGGCCAGTATTTGAAAAAGTCCTTTTTTTCCAATTGGTTGTCGTCCATTGTTGAAAATTAAAACAAAAATCCCACTTTTCTTGAAAATGACAGCACACCAGAAGCCATGATTTCACAGGATGCTTGAGACTATTATTCACTTACAGTCAAGTAAGGTATTTCAGATTAATTTGGTAGTTTTTGTTGTTGTTGATGTTTCCAAATGTTGTATATTATCTTTAATTAAAAGACGTGGGTGGTTATCGTGTTCCATTCCTAAATCCTGATTCATCAAAAAAGAAATAATTGAGCATAAATATTTAAACAACAAAGAGTACGGTAACATCATCATCTTCGCAGTTCAAGGTCTTCTTCCGTAAACTTCAAATCAACCAAAGTGGCAATTGATTACGCAAGCTCGGAAGTGTCTTTTTCTTATTTGGCTTTCCTCAGTGCAGTTACATTGTGTGACGATAATGCAATAATGCCTCTTTGACGCGTCAAACTTACCGTAGTGCACTCGTTACGTGGGTGGACAAAATGCGTTGTTCTTCGTAATCACTTGTGATGTGTGTTTTTGCGGACCTCAATTACCGGACTAATTGCGCCTTTGGAAAAATATGCGAATGATGTAGTTTGTGATTGTCTACCCCTTTAGCGTTGACGTATGTGACTCCATATAATTTCTCTGGCTACTGTTAATGGGTATTGTCAGTTATCATTGACACTTGATGTGCAGTGACGGCTTGTATTTCTGTGTGTATGTCATAAAGTCCGTTGCCCTCTGTGTGCAGTGCATTGTGGGATATGCGATTCAGTCAGAAAATACATGTATGTACTTCTCATGAGGAGAACAACGTAATATGAAAAAATGTCGAAGAAATATCAAAGCCCCAATTAGACAATTCTATCCCAGCATGTGTGTTTCTTTAATTTGTTCTGGCTTGCAACCCCTACCCCCATCCCACTCCCCCACCCCATCCCACTCCCCCACCCCCAATCCACTCCCCACCACCAACCCCAATCCACTCCCCCACCACCAACCCCAATCCTACCCTACCCCCAATCCAGCTGGTTTTGACTTTTTACCTCATCAACAGGGATGAGATTTTACAGACTTTTGTCTGAAATCAGACTTTATGAATCTAAGAGGAAGACATTATTAAGTATAGAATTTTCAGACTTTTTTTTTATTATTAAATTGACAATCTCAGCCCTGCTCATCACATTCAAACACCCCCTGACGGACATGTACATGTAGAAACAACCAGTGTGGCAGAAAAAATAAATACCCAATTGATTGACCGCAGCTTGTGTGCACCTTTAAAAGACATCCTACCCCTAAAATTCAACCCCCCCCCCCATGTAGGTCTTGATTTCCATCCAAGCATTTTCGGATACCTCCCAGGTAACAACATGGCAGAAATAATAAAATACCAAGTTGACTGATTTTCTCCCAGCTTTTGTTCCTCTTTAAGACCCCCACCACCACATTCCCTCCTCCAACTCCCCCAACAGCACCCCCCTCCAACTCCCCCAACAGCACCCCCCTCCAACTCCCCCAACAGCACCCCCCTCCAACTCCCCCAACAGCACCCCCCCTCCAACTCCCCAACAGCACCCCCCTCCAACTCCCCCAACAGCACCCCCTCCAACTCCCCCAACAGCACCCCCCTCCAACTCCCCCAACAGCACCCCCCTCCAACTCCCCCAACAGCACCCCCCTCCAACTCCCCCAACAGCACCCCCCTCCAACTCCCCCAACAGCACCCCCCTCCAACTCCCCCAACAGCACCCCCCTCCAACTCCCCCAACAGCACCCCCTCCAACTCTCCCAACAGCACCCCCCTCCAACTCCCCCAACAGCACCCCCCTCCAACTCCCCCAACAGCACCCCCCTCCAACTCCCCCAACAGCACCCCCCTCCATCCCTACAGGTCCTAAGATCATTCAAGACTACCGGGTACTTCAAACCCAGTGTGTGTGTCCCTTTAACACCCCTTCCCCCTCCCCCCTCCCCCTACAGCCCACAGGTCTTGAGAACCAACCTAGCAGAAATAATAACCCGCCAAGTTGAATGACTTCGTCCCTAGGGCATACGAAGAATTCATTATCAGGCCTTTATATCTGGCTATTCCCGTCTTGCGAGTACATTATGTAATTACCGCCTGCCCGAGCCTGGTCCTTCTTATTTCCTTTCGCGATGCAAATCTTTTCAGCTCGTGGCTTCGTAATTGCAGAATTTCATAAGTTTCAGAATCAAAAGAGTGCATTCACTCCTAAATTGAAATATTTTGTTCTATCTGTGGAGATCTCTACATAGTTCGATCGAAGGCCTTTGAGTCATGTTAGTTTTGAGGACAGTTTATGCATAACTTGCGAAATTTTAATAGGTTGTGAAATTAAATAATGTAAATTTAAGAAAGGTAGAATCAACTTTATGTTCTCATTTTCCGGGCATAAAATTTGGCAAACAATGTGTGTATGTGAGCAGTTTCTGCTTGAAACATTAATATTTTGTTTTTAAAAAGATGTTCCGAAGATAAAGCTTGAACTAAATGTACATAAAATGTTTCTAAATTCATGTGAAAATTGATTTCTCTTATATTTTTCCCCACTCTTCCAATTTTTGTTTTTTCCAGAACTGGTGAGAAACAGGTGACGTTCAAAGTTCATCCCGACGTGATTCGGATGACCCCAGCCGAGGTCGCTGAAGCTGCAGGTAAGAGACGTCCTGATTGGTTGTTGCTATGGCAGCAGACTATACTGGACCAATCACAAACAGCATACATTGGTGTATTCAGATTTACATGTACACCATAGCGATCAATACATTCTGTTTGGCATGGTATCTGTCAGAAAAAAATTCAGTCATTTTGATATATTTTTCAAACCTTCAAAAAAAACCCCCAGTATTATCTAGCTACCATGTTTCATAAATAGCCGTTTTTTCCCCTCTTTTTTTCTGTTTTTTTTCTTCAAACTTTGACAGTATTAGTACTCTAGCAACCATGTTTTGTAACTGTTCATTTTTTTTAATAGGCCTATATTTTTCAACATGTTTTTTTATACAAAACATTCATCAGTCCAAGATTTAATGGATAAAAAGTCATTTATAAAGCTAATAATTGTCATGAGCTAAAAGTGACAGTCTTGAAAGATATTTTTCTTCTAAAAAAGGAAAAAAAAGTCCAAGTACCATGGCAACTAACGAGCTTCGGTCGCTCACGTAAGCCGGGCTTCAGCTTATACAACTGTGGAGAAGCGAGGTCGTTCGTTGTGTAACAAACGTCTTGTAAGAATGTCGCAGAAGTTGCTACATGGATGCGCCATATTTTAGTTTAGAATGCTCGAATGGGTTTCTCAGACCCCAAATTCGTTGCCGCTCGCACTCACAAATGCACCGTGTTTACAGAGAAACGGATGACGCGCGGCCCACACCGTCTTCCTTTCCTCCAAAAAAAAAATCCGAAAGACCAAAAAGCGATTGATTTTTCAGGAAGTTGCCCTTTCCACTGACCCGGACACGGAAAACCGTCCTCCGTAATAGAAAACCGCTGATCCGCAGGCGGTTGCCATAGTAGCCAAGCCGATGGGAAGAGGGTCGACCAGAGATAGATGTGTCCACTGGTTTTGCTGTCGTCTTATTTAGTAGAACAAGAAGTTGAAAGATGACTGAGAGCAGCTATGGGTTGATTTTAAAGGGGCAGGCGAGACGAAAATTTAACAATCTTCAAGGGGCAAGCAAGGCCAGACTGATTTTAAAGGGGCATGTAGCACAGGGAGGCACTGAATTTAAGAGACAAGCAAAGCAAGGGAATTGATTGTAAAGAAGTAGGAAGGACAGGGTCGAACTGATTTTAAAGGGGCAAGCGGGACAGCGATAGCCTGATCTTAAAGGGCCGGCAAGGTGAGGGAACTGATTGTAAAGGGACAAGCAGGACTAGGAAGAACATTAAAGGAGCACACAAGGCACAGCGACTGAACTTAAAAGGGGCAGACGAGACTATAATGAACAAATCTTATAGAAAAAGGGAAGGTAACGGCACTGATGTTAAAGGGGCAGGCAACACGAGGAGGTACTGATCTTAAAAGAGCAGGCGAGGTTAGGGTACTGATCTTAAAGGGGCATGCAGGACGGGACGAAACTCGGCCACATTTCACAGCGCTGCTTAAAGCAAGTGGTTTTCTGCCAACAGATCCTGTGTCTATCTGGCAATAAGCATAGCAAAGAGCACCCTAATTTAAGGGTGAAAACTTGATTCAAATTGTGATGTTTATTATTGTTTCAAAGTAAATCACATCTTTTTGTTTAAAGACAAAAAGAAACAATCAAATAAATTAATTAATTAATATCGGATGATATGCATGATTGAAGCAGGAGTACACATATTTACAGGTTCTGTCCGTAAAGGTTATCTTCGACTAGTTTTGGGGCCCAGCGTGTAAATTTCCCTGCTCCGCATAATAGCGGCCCGCAATTCAATAACGCACGGCACTGTTGACTGAGTGCCAACTGTGCACACATGTTGTATGTAAACTAGGCCACACCATATGGCGTGGAACTATTTACTTATGAATTGCCGAGCGCGCCGTGGGATTATGCTGTCTCCCATTATGTTTCTACAATTCAGCATCGGGTGAACTGTTGGTATGGATTTTTTTCCCCCACCAAATAATGTTCTCTTTGTCGATAGTGTTCTCATCGATAGTGTTAACCTGATGCACATAATTATCCTGCCTCGGCGTGTTTAAAGGGAAAATACAACATTTGCAAACATCGAAAAATAAAACTACCAAGTTGTTACGAAAAACCTTACTAGGATGTTGGTAAATGACATGCTTAAGCATCCTGTAAAATTATGGCACCTGGTGTGAAGCCATTTTCAAGAAAATGGTATATTTGTATACATTTCCAACGGTGGTCGGCTGACCACCGTTGGAAAAACCTAATTATTTTTCAACTACTGCTCAAAATGTACCTTTTTTGTTCAGTCCAAATTTTGTTTGCTATTGGTTACATGTTTATGAACGTGTGCAGGCCAGCTAGACTGGTTCCTTACCTTACAATTTTCCAGTATTTTTGATCCATTTCATCTTTAGTGGAGTCAGGGAACCAGACTACTTGAATATTTTTGTTTTTCTTGGTTTTTCCAGCATTTGCGAACACAAAACTTCAAACATGTCAGTGTAACAATATTTGATCTATTATATTAACCCCCCAAATAGTTCATTTCTGAAAATTACAGCAAAAGCCAATGATGTACATTCCCTTTAAATGGACTAGCCATAGAAGTTTTTTCACTAGTGCATGTGGATTTTCATCCCTTGTTTTTCCCATCCTCCAAATGAACACAAAACAAAAATTACTTTAAGTGTCTGTATATATTTATCATTCGCAATTCTCCTGGAGTGATTTTTAATGAAATGCGGAAATTGAGCCGTTCAGATATTGAGTCGGCTTCTCGCCAGAGGAAATTGGATGTCCCGAAACTAGAAAATGATAGCCTTGAAAAAGAAATATGCGCGTCTTTTAATATTGTACTGTTCGGATTGGTCCACACACTACATTAAAAATCATTGAGCGTTTGTTAAAGACAGCACCTGGTTAGATTAAATGGTTCACATAACTTGCATATCAGCGTAAAAAAAAAGTTAAAAAAAAAAAAAAATTGAAACGGACTTTAGCCAAGCCATTCATTTGGTGGAGCTGACATTTGTATTCAGTATTTTATTTTTTTAAGTTGTTACCTAAAGAGAATTTGCATACAATTTAAATGAAGCAATGGTTTGAATTGAAAAGTGGATCAGATTAAAAGGGTTTTAATTAGTTTTTATAAAAATACAAAAAAATATGCATTATTCAGTTTTCTTGTACACTCGTACATTTGACTAATGACGCAAACATTGAAACCTTTATATGCAAAAAAACACACCATGTTTTCTTCGAGGAAACCAAACCAGACAGCTGTGCCAAAGTAGATGCTAATTACACGTTATTAATAGACACGCAATTAATGGCATTCCATTCACGCCTACGTTACTGACATTTCACCCCCCCCCCCTATTCCCCCCCCCCATGCTACATTGTGATCAGTAGTCATGTCTTCATGTACTCTGCACGACCGTTCAAGCAGAGAAAACAATATGAAATTCCGCAATTGCTTCATGTTGGCTGCGCTGACACACGGATAAGAGATCGATTGCAGCCTGATCATGGAGCAACTTGACGTCATACTGTCTGATTCGAACACCCCCAGACATGAAACAACATGTTCATGTTCATAATGTGCAAGCGCCGTACACATACATGACATTATGCACATTACATTTTTCAGAAGCCGTAGTTTACATGTTGCGGTTCAGTAACTACCCAGCAAGCAAAGTTGACATGTTTTGCATATGTGCGCCTCAGGAAAATTTAACAAGTCGGCATCAAATTGGATTACAACTAGTTGAAACCACTCATCCTCGTAAAAGGTGCGCTGAAACGAAGTGCACTTATAAACCGTACGAACTTCTTTTAAAATTCTCATATCCCGGGGCAGGCTTACCTCCCACTTTGTAGGTTTACATATGTGCCTTGTCATTGTGAAGATTCAGTTGCGTATAATTATTGTCAGTGAGTTAAAAAAAAGGGCAAATACATGTTGATCTTAGAAGATTGCGGGGTTTTTATTTGCTACGATTTGGTAGCACAAGTCGCAGTATTTTGATGGCCTGAAATTAAAGGGAATAGGCAACATTTGCAAACATCCAAAAAACAAAAACTACCAAATTATTATGAAATACCTTACTTGACTGGAAGTGAGTAATAGTCTCAAGCATCCTGTGAAATCATGGCACCTGGTGTGCTGTCATTTTCAAGAAAAGTGGAATTTATGTATCAATTTCAAAAATGGTCCGTCATTGGAAAAAAACGTACTTTTTTCAAATACTGTCCCCACTTTACCAAATTTAGTTAGTCTACAGTTTGTTTGCAATCGGTTATACATCCGTGAATAGGTTCAAGCCAGCTAGTCTGGTTCCCTGGCCTGACAATTCCCCATCATCTATAAATTGCTCTATTTCATCTGAAGTAGGATCTGGGAACCACACTACAAGAATGACCTTTTTATTTGGTTTTTCCAGCATCTAGGAACACAAAACTTTAAACAGGTCAGTGTAACATATTTGCTATAAAATACTAACCCTCAAATCTGTCCATTTCTTGAAATAACAGCAAAAGCGAATGCTGTATATTCCCTTTAACACAGACAAAGTAGAAAATAGAAATGATGAGAAGAATAATAGAATACACTGATCAGCTGAGTGGTTTTTAATTTTTTTTAAATTTTTTTTTTATTTATCTGGAATCAATAAAACTAGGGAGAGTCTTTCCGATATGAGCGTTGTTATCGCGCCAGATTGAAATAATCAATAGATCTCTGAGCTACAGCAAAAAAATATGATTGTCTGTCTTTTGGAAATTATGAAATTTATTATTGAATTACATGTAGATGTATTTCTATAGTATTTATTTCTGGTAATAAGAAACAACAATGATTCCTCTGAGGCATGGCACAATAGCTCTTAAGAAACATGTGGAGAGAAGACGTTCAAGACATTTTCATTTTAAAGTCGAGAGAAAAACCTGAATGCTGTAGTAAGACATCTGCACAAGAAAGCAGGAGGTTGTGGGTTCAAGTCCCACCAAAAGAGTTCAGCTTTTCTAATTTTTTTTTATAATACTGTTAGAAAGTGCAGATAATGAAGAACTGACTTTTCATCAATACAGAGTTGAGAGTGGCAAATCCTTGATTATAAATTCAAATCTCACCAATATTAAACATCCATCTTTGTTTGACCTGTATCAAAAAAAAAACCCATCTAATTAAATCAGTGCAATTGATTCAGTTGGATCTCAGCAACACTTTTGTGCGCTCCTAGTGTGCATTCGAGTAGCTCACCCGGATCGAGTCGGGTAACAGCAGACGGGTTAGCCACGACAGCCGGGCTAATCGAACCCTCAATCGCAGGCCATAACGATCCTTACGCTACGCCCGTGGCCGCGGCCATAGCCACTGACAAAACGCCCGTTTCGGACTGGGTCTTAGTTTGAGATTTACTGCTTTTCAGTCAGTTGCAAAACTGAAAAAAAGTTAGGCTGGAATTATAGCCTCTAAAGTCCCAATGAACTTGATAAATAAATTAGACTTCAAATAAAGTTGATTTTTGCGCCACTTGAGATTTCCGCTGTCCGGCCGCCATATTTCTCCGTTTCTAGGAATGAACAGCGCGTGCGTGTGACGTATTTCCACCACTGACTCTGCTCCACGAGCAGGGTCTGTGGTGGCTGACCCAGGTGAGCCCCGAGAATGACGTCAGAGCTAATCGAACGACACGGGGCTAACCCGAGTCGACCCGGGTAAACTACTGGAACGCATCCCTAGTGTACACACTTGACCACAACATAAACTATGCACAAACATTGTACATGTACATGACTGTCATTAGAAGATTGAATGTCATCCGGTGTTGAGGAGACGCAGCGTTTAATTTAATTACCAAATGTTTTGTCAAGTGTTTGTCTAAGCTGGATCTCACAACTTCCCTTCTCCTTGTGTTATTCTAGAGGGATCTTTATGTATTCTAGTGCTTGGGTGAGCTTTGTGTTTCGACTTAAGCAAGAAAATTATCAGATTATTTGATGCCACCTGCCAATAATTACATACAATTTTTGGAAGCCTCTCAAAAAGATTTGGAAAAAAAAAAAAATGTTCTCATGTTTTTTTTAAAACAGGTATTCTGTCTGTGTATGTAGCCAAGTCTACTGAGATTTTTTAATGTTGCATATTTTTTTGTCATCTTGTGAGATAAAAAAAAAAAAAATTTCTAGGGGGAATTTAAAAAAAATATATTGGCTTGGAGTTCAGGCAAGTGGAAAAATGCTGTCAATGGTGCAAACCAGTATTAAAAAAAGACAAAAATCTGTCCGCCGAGCTCATGAATGAAAGTTATACATTCAAATTATTCGATATTAGAGAGTTCTGAGAGCCATGGAATTAGGGGATTGAAGACATATGGCAATGCATCTCTGGCCTGGACATGGCTTCCAATTTTAAGCATTTCGGATGCAATTGGGTCCGAAGGTGGCGCTATTTAGCCATGTTGTGGAGGGATCCTTTTTTTCCAAGTAACTAAGTTTCCAGTTTGGAAATATCAGTCGTTTTAGGGGTGGTCTTTTTTAGCTGGTAATCTCAAATAGTCATTGGTAAACCTATCAAAAATTGAAAAGAAAGTGAAAGACGACATGTTGATCATCAATATTCTGTGCAGCCTGAACACCTGTGAGAGTTTTTAGTGTTTTTAAAATTATTTTAGAGTATGGGAATCATCACTGGTGTCTATATGAATTTATTTACTGGGTTGCATCCTCAGGAAATTGTATACTGCCCCCTCTATTGATACATATTTGCCATTTAGGTACAGAATGGAAGTACACAATTGTGAACGACAAGTTAAAAAAATTACCTCCCAAAAAAATAGCCGACTATTTTTGTGCCGGTATCGACCTCTTTCCTTTAGGGCACATTTTATGACATCACGACAGACAAGCTCCCCCCCCCACCCCCGTTGCCTCAAGCGGTGACATTTACACCGCTTCTATATTTTTCTCCACCCCGGTGTGAGGAAATCTCGCAAATAACACACCGAGGAAGAAACGAGATGGGTAAAAAAGGAAAGCCGATCTGTTTTTCCTGGAAGTGTTGGCTGGCCCAGCTGGCGCATCTGTGAAGTGGTTTTTGTGTGGTTGGATATCAGTGGCATTGAACGTCACGGATGTGGATGTCAATGACCATGGACAAAAGAGGGCGCTCTTTCATGGACTGTGATTTTGCACTGACCTGCTTGAATTGACTTGCATACATTTTTATCGTGGATTTGGATATATGGGAATGAGGGAATATTGTTTAAAGGTAATAAACATTTGTTTTTCCTGTAATTTTCAGAATTTGAAGGATTTTGGGGTTAGTCTTTTATAGGAAATATTGTTACACTGGCCTATTAAAGGGAATGTACATCATTGGCTTTTGCTGTAATTTTCAGAAATGAACTATTTTGAGGGGTTAGTATAACAGATCAAGTAATGTTACACTGACATGTTTGAAGTTTTGTGTTCGAAAATGCAGGAAAAACCAAGGGGAAAAAATGTTCACGTATAGTCTGGTTCCCTGACTCCACTAAAGATGAAATTGATCAATTTATAGATGCCGGAAAATTGTAAGGTAATGGAACCAGTCTAACTGGCCTGCAGCCGTTCATGAACATGTAACCAATAGCAAACAAAATTTTGACTGAACAAAAATGGTACATTTTGAGCAGTAGTTGAAAAATAGTTAGGTTTTTCCAACGGTGGTCGGCTGACCACCGTTGGAAATTTATGCAAAATATCACTTTTCTTGATAATGACTTCACACCTGGTGCCATAATTTTACAGGATGCTTTAGACTGTCATTTACCAACATCCTAGTAAGGTATTTTGTAAAAACTTGGTAGTTTTATTTTCCGATGTTTGCAAATGTTGTATATTCCCTTTAAAATGTTTGTGTTCATGGATGCTGGAAAAAAAAAACACGGGAAAAAAAATGCATTGAGCAACGGATGATACTCAGACTACATCAACACTAGTTATTGTTGGTAAGCCATCAGAAAGCAACAAACTCTTTGCTGTGCACTCGATGTACAAGTACTCCCTCAACGACATTGAAGGGAGAGTTGGGGGAGAATGGCTGGAGAGATATTCCAACGCATTTTCCGACGACGCCTGACGCTCCCGCGAGGACGCCTGGGCTTTGCGCACATTCAAAATAAGGCCAAAAAAAAAAATTAGTCGGTCTCTGGTCAGCGCGCGCGTCGATTTTGATCATGCGTCAACCTTTTTTCCCTTCAAATTTACCACAGAAGCTACAACGGCTCCCTCTATTGCAGCACCTCCTCAAATGTGTGTACCAAGGAGCACCAAGGAAAAGGGAAATTGCGTCTAGGCAAATAATCGAGGGCACCAAGGCAAATGATTGAGGACACCAGTGTATATGAGGACACAAAAAAGCAAAATAGTACCCACCTTGTCTGAACAATTCAAGCTTAAAAAAAAAAAGCAAAAAACCCCCCCCCCCCCAAAAAAAACAAACAGCATTGCCGCATCAATTCCGGAACTTCGGTCTGACCAGAGACTGACTATTTTTTTTTTGGCTAAAACTAGTTGCAAGTACTTTGCGCTTTACACGGCGAACATGTACGTGCACACGGTGATTCCCCCCCCCCCCCATGGGGGCTCTTGGAGGTGGTAAAAAAAAAAACGCCCTCTATTGTTGGCGCACGAAGCACATTACTTGATAAAATAATACCTACACTGCATCATTAGACAGTAACAATGCTTGACATTATGCATTTCTAACATCAATCTTGTGCACCAGAAACAAAAGCAAACTAAAACCCCCAACAAATCTCATCCTGTTAGCGTCGTCAACAATTCATTCTGTTTTCGTGCCGCAGCGTCGTGACCAATTCACTCGGTTTTCATGCTCCACCTCGCGAATGTGCCCATGTGTGTGTTTGTTCTGGTTCCGGCTAGAGCAATTTCATTAGGATTCCTACATCTTTCCCCTGGCCTAGTTTATTTTTGAAGCATTTTAGGTTATTCAAGGGAACTGGAGAGCGAAGTACAAATAAACCGACTGGTGTGTTTACCCGTGCCTGGATGCATTTAATGGAATGAGGAATGGACGCGGTTCTCGAGTGAAACCTTTTAGGTCACACAAATGAAATCTTTGGAACGGAAAAAAAAATAAAAGGCCCCTGACTTTTTCAGTTAAAGAAATCCTGTTAAAGAATTCCAGATCACTTTTAAATTTGTATTGTAACAAGTTTGAAGAACTGTTTTTCTAAAACATAAATCTGGAAAATGGAATCAAGTTCCAAAATTAAAAGTTTTCACAATTCTCCAAAATAAAAATGCAAACCTGTATTTTTTGTTATCCATTCATGTACGTATTTATGTTGACAATTTTTAAATCAAATTTTTATGAAATCAAATTCAGATCTGTGTAATCAAATAAAAAAACAATGAAAACCTCTTTTCAACGGAAATTTGCCAGCTGAGCAGTTGTAATAATTGCATGAATTGGTAAAACTGGCTGCACAATTTACGATTGATTTTCACAAAAACCACTTGTTGATTTTTTTATGCTTCAATTTTTCCCCCCTGTTTCTTCATTTTGTTTAGCTGCTCGTCAGTCAGATCTGGAAGACATGATGGGAGTCACCATTACAGAGACGGGGGTGGGCAAACAGGTAAGTCAATTTTGTTTCGGAGGGGAAAATTGTGTCCGTAATTTTTTTTGAGTGGAGCAAACTTCATTTTCAGAACTGACACTGAAGATCGATAGTGGAATGTCCGTAGGTCAAAGGTCACAGAGCTGTTAAGGGCAGAACTTCGCTAAGTATGGAAAATATTGGTTATGAGCCAAGATATCAATTGATGTATATTGGCGTATCACCGGTTCATGGCTGTTGCGTGCTTAGCATATAAACATTTGCTAAGTATTTCCTGCTTAACAGCTCCATGGAATTAAGCCCTGTTGCCAGACATCCCCCCCCTTAAAAGCCTTGGTTGGCCACGCCCCTCAGTGGAACACTTCTCTCGCCGGTGTTCTGCAAGAAGATAAAAACGGCACTCGGGTTGCATCCTCGGAGGGTACATGCGTAAATGGATCATGTCGACACCCATCAGGGCGCCCTCTGGTGGTTTGTGTAGAGGGGACAAGATCCCGTCCGTTGCAGTGATCACAATCCAGTGGGGTATTTTGTGAAATGGGCCAATGAGACCAAATGGTGACAAGCCTGTTGTAGATATTGTTATCTGTGAGGGCGCCCTCGACCGGTAGTGCACGGAGGGGATATAATTAGTGTTGACGGCAGTATTGGTGTCGGGGTAATTGTAATCTGATAGCTGTTCTCTGTAGGCGACAGTTTAAATTGGGGTTTAGAGAAATGAAAGCACTTGCGTTTAGAGAAATGAAAACACTTGCGCTGAGTACTCGTGAACTCGTGCTTATAAAAACACATCATTGGAAAGGTCTAGTCTGGCAAACCTTGTTAGCTCTGAAATCTGTTTTGAAAATGAAAAGTCTGTCTGTTGGCTTATGTTGTCTTTGTTCAAAATCCCCCCCAACAACAAAAAATCCAACAAGTTGAAAAAATGTGGTAAGCCAAACTTTATGCCTTTTTTTGGCCAAACAATTACAACCACTACACTTAAAAATCAACTTGAAGTGTTTTTTTTAAAAATAATTGACGACGGAAGCAAAAAAGATCCTTTGACACAGATCCATAATTCACTCGGCAATTTCACCCGAGCGACTCCATTACAAAACCAGGACATAACCACGGCAACTGCTCGGCGGCCAGGTACGCGACGTTCTACATTATCCCCGGATGCCACCGCTAAGCCGCTTTCGGCTCTTGTGACTCCTTTACAAGGAAAGTTTCCCCGCCAGGCGCGTCGGATTTCACACAGCCTGCGGACAAAAAATGTAAATCGGTAACGTTTTGGTTTTATTTTCCGTGTACGGATGTGCTTTAAATGCACTTGGAATGTGGACATTAGTGCTGTTGAGGCGTTTTGACTTACATGCAGCTAGACATATTTTGAGAGCAGAGTTTTTGGGTCTTCGTTTATGTGTTGTGCTGTTTCCAAGGTTACATGTTTCTTGGCGGATGTTTTCCTAGTGTCTCGGATTTGATGTTGTTTGATGAGGGATTAATGTCGAGAATGGTCAAGTGTTAATAGATGTTCAGTCGCAGGTTAGACTGGATACCTGTCCTTGTACATGAATATGAGGGCAAGCTATCTCCTTCAAAACTTGTGAAATAGATCGGGGCGGAGTGACGTCAGTTTTTATCGGTTGTGTTACAATGTATGTGTTGACTGTTCTACTTGTTCTTCTATCTCAAACCCCAAAGACTTTGTACTTGTTTTATTTTCGGCGCCACTTTTGACACTAAACACACTTTAATCTTGATCAAACTTAACACAATCAAAGACCATATAGCAAAGATGGTCCGGGAAGATGGACGATGATGTCATCACAAGAATTTTCATGATGATGTCATCACATATCATGTGACGTCATCTTAAAGGTGCAACTTTCAACAACTTTTATCTAGAGGCCGATTGGGCTGAAACTTTGTGCATAGTTAGGGATCTGGGCCCTTTGGCATTGCTTACCACAGAATTCCGCGCTTACGATCACCATTTCGTGCTTACCACGGTAGCAGAAAAATTGTGCGCTAACCCTGTAAGCCAGAATCCTTAGTTACGGGATGTATGCATGCGCAGCAGCGTAAATTCCTCATTAAAGTGTTAAATATGCTTTACCGTAAGCACGGAATTTTCTTCTATAGTAAAGCATTTTTTCGCTTACGGTAAACAGAGCCATGAAATTAGGCGCTGTACTTAGACAGACATAGATCTCTGGTTTTTTGTAATCTGTTGCTCTACATCCATTTGGCTTACTTGCAAATCAAGGATCTCCGTTTATTTGCTCCGCATTGACAATCCCCTCCGTTCTTTATTGGAAAAAAATTGAGATTAGAGATGTATTTTGGGACTGACCTTTCGTAGGGAAAAACTTGAAGATAATGATTAACAAGGTCATGAAGGTGAAAAGAAATTACATAAAAATCAAGAAAATTTACAAAAAGAGATATCGATCTGGAAAACACATCCAAATCCATGATCCATTTTCTAGTTTAGAGTGAGATTATACGCCGTTGAATATTAAAATAATACAGATCGCTCGCACAAACTCTAAGTACAGTTGAAAGTACGCTCACTTACAGAGCCAAAAAAAAAAGACGGAAAAAAAAAATCGTCTTTTCCACTTAATCTTCTCCGTTCCCGAGCTAAGTCCCATTTGCGGCGTTTCGGGTATCCTTACCTGCGCACTTAGGTGCATTCACCTAGAAATTGAGCTTTTAACTTAGAGCGTGCATTAAGAATTTTAACGTCCCCCCATATCTATAAATCTTGAGGGAACTCTTTGCACTTTAAGTTCACCAGGGTCTGTTCACCCTCAAAAGACGGATTTAGAAATCTGGGAAAATATTTAAATTTGATGCCGGAAGGAGAATTTGCCTTTTTGCATTTTTCCCCGATAATATTTCTCGCTTATCATGACACAAGCGATAGTAAAACTTGGTATGTGCATCCAGTGTGTGTGAATTTTTGAAGTATTACCTAAAAAAATATTTTCTATAAGACACATCAGATTGTTTATTTACAAATTCTCCTGATTACAAAAAATTGCAGAGACTCAGTAACAAAATGTTTGTTTAAATGCAAATTCCAAAAATAAACAAATAAATAAAGAGTATCAGAACATATGTGATATTAACTGATGTCTAAAATGTCAAAAAATGGGACGGAATCGTTTAGTTTTTGAGTCATCGTCAAAAGGACATTTTGGGGTCACTCCTAAATAAAATTTAAATGCAAGCACTCAGTGACATTTGTTAACACATGGTCTGATCAAATGGTGATTGAATTGAAGTATTTTGAGTTGCCGGGGTAAAAAAGAATTTCCCCTGGGGAGGGAAGTGGTTTGTAGGGGTAGGGGTAGGGGTGACCTATATTTAATCAATCCATCTCTCTTTTATTGTCATCTTCTGTATGTGCCTTCCCATTTCATAACATCTACAGCGAAGTGAATTCCCTGTAGGTAATGAAATTTGATGATTATGCTGCCTGTATTTTTTTCACAGAGGTTAAGACTTACATGTAAAGCTCCCCCCAAAAAAAAAAAATAAGGAAAAATTTCAGATGTAAATGGCATTAAGCATGTAAAGACCGCACAGTTTTTCAAGTGGTACATTGCGTCCCTTGCTTCATTTTGTATTCAAACTCTAATCAGCGGCACATTTTTTGGGGGCTCTTACACTTTCTGCCGTTACTCCCTCTGAAGCAGTCAATGTGGGCTTTTCTCAGCGCCGGTCAGTCGGCCCCAGTAACATCCAAGATCAATAAATGGCTAGATTTTCTTTTCTTTGCGTCCCTTGCTTCATTTTGTATTCAAACTGTAGTCGGCAGCACATCAAAATTTTTTTTGGTTCTTTCACTTTGTGCCGGTTCTCCCTCTGAAGCAGTCAAAGTGAACTCTTCCTAGCGCCGGTCAGTCGGCCCCAGTAACATCCAAGATCAATAAATAGCTGGATTTTTTTCTTTTTTTGGTACGCTCGGAATCAAACGAAAATTCCCCAGCCTTTTTGTTCGTTTTTTTTTTTTTTTCATTTCTATCTTGCTTAATCTCAAAAGACAACCATTAGCTTTTGCCAGTCAGTGGCCGAGGGACTCCAAAAAAAAAAAAAAAATAGTGGAAAGACAGGCCGGCCGAATTCCGTTGAGGGAAATGTCTCTGTTTCCATAGCAATATCCCGGCAATCTTGCAGATGGGGAAAAATTGGGCTGTACATGTAGCTTCTTGCCAATGAACTGTTAAGGGCCTTCTTTTTGTGATGCATGATTTTTGATTTCCTCTGGAAGTAAAATAATGAAGAGATAAACATTTGTGAGCATTCTGATAATCGCCAATAAAACGTAATTAAAATTAAATTTACATTTTCTTTTACCCTCTCTTCACAAATTTATTGTGTCAATTTATGTTCAAATTTATGCAGTATGTCCTATAAAAAAGAAGTTTTTTTCACACTTCCCTCTTAAAAGTAAATGCTGTGTCAAAGTACATGTAAGTCATGTTTTCTCCGTTCACAACCAAATTTTCAAGGGAGGTAACTTGAAACCCGTTGATTTATTATTTTTTTCACAGATTTTTTGTTTAAAGATTCTTCGTTTAAAGATTCTTTGTTTAAAAATATTGGACTTGTAATTGAAACGCCAGGAGTTGCCCATTTTGAGTTTGACACACTGGATGGGAGTCGCAATATGGGTCAATTTTATCTGTTCCCATGGCAACAGTGTACCGAACTCGGGAAAATAAAAGTGTTCTCATATGTCATCTTGGGTAGCCCGCTGGGCTTGTTAGCAACGCAACATGAGACAAGAATTTTCACAAGTTGCGTGCCGACAAGACGAGAACCCGTAAAGAAAAAAAAAAAATTGAAAAAGAAAAGAAAAAAACCCTCTGGTTTTGGATAACATAACCGGCCGTGTTCCCAAGAGTTTACTCAGGATATAGATCCTAAGTATGACATTCCCTACTTAAAAATCCACTTTAGAGTTTTCGCAGAGTATGCGCGTCGCAACGCTAGGCGAGGAAAGTCTCCGGGAATAAACCAGACGATGGCAAATAAATGAGAAATGATTCTCAGGTTGCCAGGTTTTAAGCTTGTCATTTATCATCGGTCGTGACAGAGAGCTGACTTGGAAAGTCAGCAATAACATAAGAAAGGGTTTGGGAAGTC